ACTAGTGTGCGTGTCATAGCAGATAGCGAGAAGAGAATTTTGAAGCCTGGCCCCAAAGGAGAGATGAACGGCACAGAAAGGGCGGTTTGTGGCAGATTGATGGCGATGGCAGGGGCACGGCAAGTGCGTGCCGTCTGACTGCTCATCGATGGAATCAGCATATTGCCGTGTTCCTGCTTCCCGCCCTCATCGCAGGTCGCACAGTCACCTCTCCGCGACCGACCAAGGCGGATGATGTGGCGTAAGCCTCACCGATGACATAACTCTGGCCTCCGGAGCGACAAGCGTAAGCCCAGCGGCCGTATGTCTCAGCAAGATGCGGCGTTCAGAGGGCCAAGAAGAGTTTCAGCTTTTGGACCTCGTGTCGTGAGTCAAACCTGCCAGCGATGTCACAGTACCTTTCGTGTTTATCCCCGAGAAGGGCCAAAACAGCTTAACCTTTTCCTTGGAGCTGCAGCATAACAGACGGGTTATTTTTCTTTCCTTTGTTCGCTACCAAAAGACAAGGCCCTGCGCGTGCAAGGATCCGGCATAGCTCAACAGCGTGTTCACTTTCCCTGCTATCGTCCGATGCAGCTTCCGCAGGTAGGCGCAGCGGCTTACCTCCGATGACAAGCGAGTTGTCAGTACTGATGCGCCCCGCAGTCAGTTCCAAGGTTTCCACCATATACGAAAATGCCCACTTTCCTGCTGAAAGCTCGCGATCACACATCGTATCATGGTGGAGCAATGGGTTTTGAGACTTCAAGCTCAATGGCGTTATTTTTAGCAAGCCTTACATTGCTAGTGGTGCGGATCGGAACGACAACTGGAACCTTAACACGAGGGTGGTAGCCAACTACCGCCTTGGTATTTGCAGCGTCGCGTTCCCATTGGGTGGGCCCAGAGGAACAGCTAAGCGTTCAACGGGTGGCCTCGCATCGTATTTTCGCCTTCCTTTTCTAGTTCTGGAACAGCTGGATGTGCTTTTTGAACTTGATGCTTGTAACTGCCTGGCTTACTCATTGTACCAAGCTTTTTGTGTTGACAGTTGCTTTTGCATACTTCGCGTGGCAAAGGGTCCATCAACCAAACTTCTATTGTGTCGGTACCGAAAAAACAGAAACGAAACGATTCTTACTCCGGCAGTGGACTCGATTACCTGAAGCAACTTTCTCATTCGGTGTTAGATCTGCGAAAACGTCAAAAATATTCCCGAGGCCAAGTACGAAAGCCAAGATGGCCGAAAGTTTCCGAGCCGGTGAACGTGGACACCGTGAAGACGGTTTGTACTGGGGAGTCAGCTAAGCTCAGTCCTGCGGTTTCTGTGGAGTATTGGGGCTCACAAGATGCGTCTATCAACTTTACCCGATCTGGAGGTGTAACGCGAACAGCGATGGGAGTGGAGTTGTGGAGTCGACAAAGCTTTTGTGGGTATGTTGAGTTGACTGTCAAGGCATCCCTGGTGGGCGCCTGGCAAAGAACTTCGGCATGTGTATAGTCAACATTTGACTTCGCTTGACCATGGCCGTGAAGGCACGTATTCATCAGCTTGGCACTGACAGACCTGCGAAATCGATAGCGACAAGGTACTGTGCTGACTGAGCTCTGCAGCAAGGCTTCCATGCGCTTGACTCGTCGAGACATGCACTGGACCCCAGTTCAGTCATCAGCCACTCAGACCGAATGCTTACATGTCTACCCACTGACACGACAAGGCCTGACCCCACGGGTCGCGTTGATCTCTTCATTCACGAGTGTGGGTGTCTAGGCAGCACTGAGTCCAAGACACTGACCGACTCTTCTCTCGTGATGTGCAATGCTTCATCAAGCCACAACAATACTTCGCCATCGGTACCATCGCCCCGAAGTCGTATCACGCTGACTGCTGCCTCAATGATACCTGAATTGGATCATGGGCACTCGTGTCGGATAGTCATTGCTCCACCTCGCGTCCTCGAAGAAAGGCAATGCTAATACGAGTATGCAGGCTCAGCAACATCGCTCACAGCCGCATGACACGGTACTTCACAGAGCCCCGGAAAGCCAGGCACCACGGGGCCGTCCATGTCCTCGACCGGAATCTGCGCCAGTACTCAACTCATCACTTGCGTCCGTACCATCACCATCATCGAGGCGCCCATACTCAACATATGCACGTAGTCACAACTCTAATAAGAGTATCTCGCACACCTTAGCACCTGAATCTCACCACCCACACCCATACTAACATGTGCACATAGTCATAACTCTAACAGCATACCGACAACTCTATTCCCTATACCTCCGCCTTCGTCCCTCGTAGCGCCCCCACAGACCCCAAGATCAAACCCCAAATCCAGACCCCCATAACAAACCCGCCATCATCGCAATCCCAACCGTAGACGCCAAAGTCCATCGAGGGACTAGAACTAACCCACGTGCTCAACACCCGCAATAGTATGGCAATCTCCCGTCGCATTCGTCTCTCCCATTAGAACCGCACTTCGGTGCATACTCCGCCTGTTCAGCACGCTCCGCGACTCTTCCCACACCCGTGCGCCTCCGCAAGGCTTGCATCCAAGACCCAGACCCAGCCGCCAAAGCCTTCAGCATTGAGCCTCAACCGCACCGTCTCTGCCAGAGCAGTCTAATGATTAGATTAGCCGCAGATTTCCATGAATCAAGGTTCAGAAGAGGGTACAATTGTAGCGCCGAGAGTAACGCCGCTGGGGCGACTATCGAGTCAAGCGTTTTGGCGTCGTTGATGGTATCGAACTCTAAATTGCCACGGCCACGTGCGACGGAAAGGGCTAGGGGAAGTATGTTTGATGCGAGACCGGCTACCCGCGCAATGAAAGATGCGTGGTGTGGAATGGTAGTGGGAGGGAGGCGGTGGGCGGCCATGTGGAAGCCACGCCGGTTAGGGTAGTGTGTGAGCTATCGTGGGTGGGTGTGCGTGTGGAGGGGTAAGAGGGTAGAGGTGGCGTGTTTATCACATGCCGAGGGAGGATGTTTGGGGGACATATTTGAGTTACGTGTGAGGGTGAGGGAAGGCTTGTGAAGACGGGATGGCAGCGTAGTAGAACGATGGAGTTTGTTGTGTTGAGGGTATGCTCGTGGAGCGTCCGCTGGATACATACGCGATGCTAGAAAAAACCGTAAAAAGGATATCATTGTTGCAATTCAAGGTGTTATGGGCGCTTGAAATGATTCATGGAATTGAACAGTTGTCTAGTGCGTCAACGACCTAAGTTGCAGTTCAAGAGTCCTTCACGGCTCGTATGAATATCTAGACATACCGGGGGTTCATAACTCATCCTTGTCTTCGTGCGTGGTCACCTTTGTTCGTGCTTGTTCGATAAGTCCCTTGCGTACTATGCTCGTAAGGACTTCGTACGCGACCTGCGCCGCTGCCATTCCTGTCGTTTCTGCTGCGCCGTCATACGCAGGACTGACTTCCACAATATCCGCACCGATGACATTCATGCCCTCAATACCTCTCAATATGCGGATGAGCTCACGCGTAGTCCAGCCACCTGGTTCAGGTGTGCCCGTGCCTGGTGCGAGTCCAGGATCAATCACGTCGATGTCGATGCTGAGGTAGACGGGCATTTCTGTTCCCACACGATTCATGATCGAGGTAATGACGCCCTTTACTCCGATTTCATCGATGTCGTCTGTTGCGATGCGAATCCAGCCTTGCTGTGAGTCGTCGGTGTAGTCCTCTGGCTCGTCGCCTGACAGTCTCGTCCTCAGTCCCGCGTGTACACTCGAGTCGTTTGCGATCAGACCCTCAGTGGCTGCAATCCAAAACATGCTGCCATGATTGAAGAACGACTGTGTAGAAGGATCTTCTTGGTCGATCCAAGCGGACGGGTACTTCGCAGGATGCCAGGTATCCAAGTGGGCGTCAAAGTGTACCACGGCAATCGGCTGCCCATATACATCCTTCAACGCCCTCAGAGCTGGAAGTGCAATGCTGTGATCTCCACCAAGAGTCAGCAGCTTTGGCTTCTTGAGATACTGCACCCCGCTCTCCGTGCTCTTTTCCGTCGCAGGTCTTTTTCCCAGCTCGAGAAAAGCCTCGCTCATCTGTTTCAGCGCCAACGTGTTATCGAAGGGCGTGATTGGTATGTCTCCACAGTCTACGATCTTCGCCCATGACGTGTACGGGTTGAGGTTGGCTCGGGGGTTGAAGCCACGGAAGGAGGTCTGTCGGCTTGAGCCGGCGCGGATTGCACGAGGTCCGAATCGAGCACCGGGTCGGTAGGAGACGGCAGTGTCGAAAGGTGCTCCGAGGATGGCGATGTCGTAGGTCGTCTCTGGGTGTGTCAAGCAGCGCGTATGCGGTAGGTGGGCGAAGGTTGAGATGCCAGAGAAACCCCACTATGCACTTGTCAGCTAATACTCGGATGCTGCTGGAATGATACTCACGTCTGTACCCCACTTCCGCTCCAATTCATCTAGTCGGTCTTGAGAGAAGGCTTGTTGGTCTTCGACATGATGCGTTGCATGAGAAGAGACGCAAGCCGCACTTGCGACAACAGCTACCCAATTCCACCGCATGATGCCCGTATCGTCAGATTGCAAGAGTTGCAATGATAAAGCCTCGAGCTGAAGTACATGTGGGCGGCGTGTAGGGCGGAGGATTATGTAAATCGCGTCTTATCGTGTGTCGATGTCATTCCGATCCCGCCCTCCGGCATTGCGGGGCGTCCCAGAAAGGCAGGTCCATCCTGGCGTACGCGGGGAGAACGAGAGTAAGTCGGCACTGTATTCGGGATTCGGTGGAGAAACCATATCGATGGATGGCACGAAGTTGACGAGACAAGAGATGAGATGGAACACGAGTGGTGACGTAGTGGGCTTATCCCGTGAGAACGCGTCGTGCGCTAAGCCTGGATCCGCGACGCGCGACCTCAGGGTGCTCGAGCTCAACCACGATTATAGCTTTCTCGATTGACATATTGCGCATCATTCTCGAGTCGTAGTCACTACATCCACGAAGCAATCAAAAGTTCTGCGCAAGATTCAGCGCCATGCCTGAGGTCAGGACGCGTCCAGTTCGCACGCGCATGAAAGTTGCTGATATCACGTAGATCGCGGAAGTTGCGCGCATTGTCGGTTTCTTGAAGAAACATGCCGTTGGCAAGACGATCAAAAACGTCATGGCACAGGAGGATAATGTTCGTCTTTCCCTTCTTTCTAATGAAACGTCGACTCACCATACCCAGATCGTCTTTGGAAAGGTCGGAACGTCTGCATCCGCCTTCCAAGAGGCCTTGACCGGAAAAAAGATAGTAGATGCACGACAGCAGGGCAAATACTTCTGGCTGGTCATGGACTCGCCGCCACATCCTCTGATGCACTTTGGAATGGCAGGCTGGATGGTTCGTAACTTCGTACGGACTGTATGTGAGACATGTGCTGACTTTGTGTACCTGATTCAGAAATTCAGCAATGATGATTCAGCACATTATCGTCCGGCGAAACCTGAAGAGGCAGAATGGCCACCCAAGTACTGGAAATTTATCCTGCAGTTGAAAGACTCCAAGAACGAGGTCGCCTTGGTAGACGCAAGACGGCTTGCTCGTGTGAGATTGGTAGACGCTGCTGCCGAAGACATGAGGAAGACCACACCACTGAAAGAGAACGGACCAGATCCTGTAATCGACAAGGATATTCTGACCGTGGACTGGCTCGGTAAGAAGCTGCGGAGCAAGAAGGTGCCTGTGAAAGCATTGCTCCTTGACCAAGCAAACGTGTCTGGCATAGGGAACTGGGTCGGTGACGAGGTCATGTACCAGGCTCGTCTACATCCCGAGCAGTACAGCAACACCTTTAGCGATGAGCAGATCAAGCGACTGCACGATGCCATCATGTATGTCTGCGACACCGCCGTGGAAGCCAACGGAGATTCGGACGCCTTCCCCAAAGATTGGTTGATGAAACACCGTTGGGGCAAGGGCAAGAAGGAAGCCCAGCAACTCCCCACCGGCGAAAAGATTACGTTCCTCAAGGTCGGTGGGCGAACTTCAGCCATTGTACCGAGTGTCCAGAAGAAGACGGCAGCTGTTGCTGGTGATGTGTCGGAGGGCGCAGACGAGGACGATGCAGAGGAAGATGCGAAACCTAAAAAGGGCGGCAAAAAGAAGGCCAAGGCTGTTAAGAAGCAGGAAGAGGAAGAAGACGTAGAGGACGCGAAACCTAAGAAGGGTAGCAAGAGGAAGGCTCAGGCTGTCAAAGAAGAGGAAGAAGATGTCGATGAAGCTGAAGAGGAGGCACCAGTCAAGCCAAAGCGAGGACGTAAGAATGCGAAGGATGTCAAGGCGGAGGTCAAAGAGGAGGACGTGGATGCTACGGAGGAGAAGCTCCCAGTAAGAGCAAAACGTGGCAGCAAGAAGGCGAAAGTAGACGTAAAGGAAGCCGAGGACGAAGAGGTTGTTGAAGCTGAAGAGACGCAGCCGGTCAAGAAACGCAAGACTACTGCAAATGGTACCGCAAAGCTGAAGAAGGCTACAACTACCAAGGAAGAAGTCAAAGGTGATGATACGACTGCAAAGAGGCGATCAGGGCGCCTGTCGAAGTAAAGTGCTGTTGGAGAGTATGTACAAGTAGAAAGCTTTTTGCTGGCGTGTGTATAAATATTGTGTATTCTCATAGTCGACTCAACTGACTGGAGATACTTGTCCAAACACAAGTCTAAGGCAAGATGTTTAACGATATCATGAGGCGGGGTGTAAGCGCACGTGCATGACGAGGTGGGCGCTGTGGTCATAGCACTGGAACATCTGAAATTCAAGCTCCCCACACACACGTAGTAGTGCCACATTGAGACTACCAGCCACCATTCCCGCGGCTGCTTGTTCCACACCCATTGTCGCGATGATACACTGCATCGACTAAATCATCTCCCATCCCCCCTAATTCCCCACGGTCCCGTCGCACGTGCGTCGACTTGTCAATTCCGATCGCAGCTTGTTCGCACCGGAACCTCGTTGACGCTCCGCGCCGGCCATACACACGACCGCCACGATGCCGCAACAACTGCCCAGCAAGGAAGCGACGCTCTTCCGCTCGCTCATCAAATTCTACGAGGGCAAGCTGTACAAGAAGGGTAGGCGCCAATTGCACGTGGACGACGACGGGCACAACCGCTGACCCCGCCAGGCCTCAAAGCTGCCGAGCAGATCTTGAAGAAATACCCCACCCATGGCGACACCCAGGCCATGAAGGCCCTGATCCTCAACTCCCAGGGCCAGGGCGATGACGCCTTCGCTCTCTGCAAAGAAGCCCTCCGCAACGACATGAAGTCGCACGTCTGCTGGCACGTCTACGGCCTGCTGTGGCGATCGGTCAAGAACTACCCCGAGGCAATCAAGTCGTACAAGATGGCCCTGCGCATAGAACCGGCCTCGCTCAACATCCTCCGCGACCTCGCCCTCCTCCAATGCCAAGTCCGCGACTACGATGGATATATTGAGAGCCGGCGGAAGATGATGCAGGAGCGCCCACAACTGCGCCAGAACTGGACGGCTTTGGCAGTCGCTTACCATCTGTCAGGCAACTACGCCGAGGCCGAAAACATCCTCAAGACGTACGAAGAGACGCTCAAACAACCCCCCGCCAAGTCGGACCTCGAGCACTCGGAAGCGACCCTCTACAAGAACATGATAATATACGAGTCGGGCGACGTGGAACGTGCGCTGAACCACTTGGAAGACGTGGTGCGCGTCAGCCTGGATCGCACCGCTGCGTTGGAACTCAAGGCGAAATACCTTCTCGAGTTGGGACGGAAAGAGGAGGCTGAGAAGGCCTACAGGATTCTTTTGAGCAGGAACAGCGAGTACCGCGCATACTTCGACGGCTTGGAGAAGGCCCTTGGCCTGGACCGGTCCAACGACGCCGATATCGAGAAGCTAAACGAGCTGTACCAGTCTTTCGCCGACAAGAATCAGCGCAACGATGCTGCGAGGCGGATACCGTTGGACTTCCTCCAGGGCGAGGCTTTCAAGACGCAGGCGGATGTCTATCTCCGGGGCAAGCTGAACAAGGGCGTACCCTCTACCTTCCCCAACATCAAGTCGCTTTACCGCGACGAGGAAAAGAAGGCCGTCATCGAGGAGCTGGTCCTTGGCTATGCTTCCAGCAAACCGACGAGCGACGAGAGCAACGGCGACAACTCCGACCGTTTCGACGAGGCTGTGCTATACTTCCTGGCCCAGCATTACAACTACGTCCAGAGTCGCGACCTGGAGAAGGCCATGGAGTACATAGACAAGCTGCTCGAGAAGGACCCGAAATCGGTCGATTACAACCAGACAAAGGCTCGCATCTACAAGCACATGGGCGACGTACAAAAGGCCGCGGAAATCCTCGACCAAGCACGAGAGCTGGAAAAGGGCGATCGATACATCAACACCAAGTGCGCCAAATACCAATTGCGGAACAACGAGAACGAAACCGCGCTCAACACTATGAGTAAATTCACTCGCAACGAGACTGTGGGCGGACCTCTTGGTGATCTTCACGATATGCAGTGCATGTGGTATCTGCTGGAAGACGGCGAGGCATACTTGCGACAAGAGAAGCTCGGTCTGGCTCTCAAGCGCTTCACCGCCATCGCAGACATCTTCGATGTGTGGCATGAGGACCAGTTCGACTTCCACAGCTTCTCATTACGGAAGGGCCAGATCCGTGCTTACATCGACATGGTCAGATGGGAAGACCACCTCCGCGATCATCCTTTCTTCACTAGGGCAGCCACTCAGGCAGTCGAGCTATACGTACGGCTAGCGGACAACCCAAAGCTCTCGAGCTCGGACGAGCTTGATCTGGAAAACCTGGATCCTACCGAGCGCAAGAAAGCACAAAAGAAGGCTAAGAAAGAGAGGGAGATGGCCGAGAAGGCCGAGGCCGAGCGCAAAGCTGCTGCTGCCGCAAAGGCGACTGCCAAGGCCGATGACGGCGAGACAAAGAAGGAAGACCAAGATCCAAATGGCGAGAAGCTGCTTCAGACAAAGCAGCCTCTTGAGGACGCACTGCGATTTTTGCAGCCTATGCTCGAGCTAGCGCCCAAGAACATTGGAGCTCAGAACGTAGGTTTCGAGGTCTACCTCCGACGAAGTAAGTCGCTCAACTGCACATCCCATGCGATATGTATGCTAACAGTCATCCAGACAAGTATCTGCTCGCCCTGAAGTGTCTGCAGTCTGCACGGGAGATCGACCCAGAGAACCCCAAGCTGCACGAGCAGAGCGTTCGCTTCCGTCAAGCTAGTAAGTTACATCCAGAATGCCTCGTCACGCTCATCGCTAAGTTAGCAGTCTCCAAACCCGCTGAGCCCCTCTCATCTCAGGCCTCGGAGGTCATCAAGAAGTCCTTCACCACACCACCTGCCGATGCCGACCTCAAAGCCTACAACGATGACTTCCTGAAGAAGCACTCGCAGAGCGCATCCCATCTGCAGTCCGGATACAACGTCCGGTATATCCTCGACAACAGCTCGAAATCCCAGAACGAGCAAGACCTACAGAAGACTTTGGAATTGTCGAGCATTACGATAGAAGAAGCTCAAGCCGGACTCGCGCTACTCAATCAATGGAAGAGCGAACAGAAGGTCAAGGACGACTACAGGGCGAAGGCCGCAGGTCGTTGGAGCTCTGCCACTGTATTCAAGAACTAAGAATTTCTCTTGGTTCGCACGGAACGCTTTTGAGTTGAACGACAGTATACGTGGCTATGAGTTTATGTACTACATCTAGTCCCAGCTTAGGTAGATGACGCGCAGCATATGCATTTGCACGGTGTCTGAAGCGCTACAACAAAAGCAATGAATAGAATCAGTAAACAGATATACATCATGAGCGGGCTTCAGATACAGACACCAGACGGCGATCAACAGGACACCAGGAATTGCGTCACACGCAGGAGCTTCCGGAAAGTAGTTGTTTCCGAATGTTCCATCAGCCAATCACAGGCCCCGCAGTACGAAAACTGCCCTTCGTGGCTAGCGTCAGGTCCCTGTGGGGAAGCGTCACAGCCGCACCTTACGAAACAATCGGTCTTGCTTTCGATGTCACCTGCACGCTTCAACAGCGTTCTGTGTATCGTGTCAGTAATTCTGCTGCCGTATCTGCGACCTCAACGTGTCGTGGACCCATCTCAAGCTTCGGCGACTTACTGAGAAGGCGCATCTTATTTTACCTCTTTACGCCACCGTATACACCGTATCGGGATCCGGTTCCATTGTCGGAAGGCATGGCTACGAGACGATCACACAACAAGACGAGGCTGGGATGCAAGGAGTGTAAGCGAAGACGTATTAAGGTGAGTCGTTCGTATGAGTTTCTTATTGGTTCTTCATGCATACGGGGTTGGTTATGCCCGTTCTGGTGCATCTCGATCACGTTACTTATCCAGCGCCACTGGGTAGCCGAGGACGTCTATCTGAGAGTTATTTTAATGGGCATCAATTTCAAGTGATGCCATGACCAGCAGAACGTCTTCTTGGGTTGTGGTAACACAGGACCAAAGAGGTTCCAATACCCTCGCCTACTAAGGATGCCACGGAATCACTGCAAACGAGATCTATTGCCAAATGTTTGGTCTTAGATGATGCTAATTTGAAGTTTAGTGCGACTGCAAGCACCCGTCGTGTGCAAACTGCGACAAGAAAGGCGACACATGCAGCTTTCTCATGCTGGCTCCTTCGTCACGCCTCTCGACAACTTCGACATCACCGACATCAACACAACAGCACATAATATCACCATCACCGATACCAAGCACACCAGAAACTCAGAATACACCGTCATATTCGCCCACCAACCTCATCGCATTTAGTAATGAGATAGCCCTCGCAACGCAGATGCCACGCCGAACTGAGATCTTTCTCGACGACATACCACTAGACTTCTCTACAAGCTTAATCGTGTCGCCTTCTCAAGGGGAGTATCAAGGAGGCTACTTCCCCGAGCTCACCATACCGCCTTACCTCCGCTTGGACGATGCCTGGAAAAACATCCGAGAGCTACTTCCGCCATCACTACAAGAAGTCCTATGTCACTACGAGTTTACAACATCTCTCTCACTCGCGAACGATGACCCCGCAAAAGCAGCCTGGCAAACCTATGTTCCTGAGATGGCGCAGAACCACGACTTCCTGACGAATTGCGTACTTTCCGTCGCCTCATTACATCTCGGTCGACTCTACGACCGCAAAGAGGACAAGAGGCGGATGAACGCGTTAGCAGCGGCGCGTATGAATAAAGCTCTAGTGCGATATAGAACAGAGCTTCAAAACATAACGCAAGAGAACGCAGCAGCACTCTTTGCGAGTTCGACATTTACAGCTGTCTATCTCTTCCGCACCTCCGCGATAGACATCGAGAACCTCATAGCTTCGATACCACCAGACACCACCATTCCACCACCAGACATAGCCGACAAAATGCTATCCTGCGCCCTCCGTACAATCTGGGGCCTCCGCGGTCCCCTCACCGTCCTGCTCTCAGGCTGGAACTGGGTAGTAGGAAGTGATCTCCATCCCGTCACAGCCCGAGAATGGTGGCCGCGAACCACCACGCCC